GGGGCTACCTGGGACATAAGGGGCCCTCTTGGGCCGTCGTGAGTTGCCTGGGGGGTATCTTGGTGCCGTCTTGGGCCGCGTTCGCCTCCATGCTGGTTTTCTTGCTTTGCCTGGGTTGGGTCTTCAGTTACCCCCAACCCCACTAGGTCTGGTACCAGACCTCCCTTCCACCTCCAACAGGTCTGGTGGGATGCCCCCCTTCCACGTCGACCAGACCTCCCAGCGGGCCCTCCTCCGGCGAGGTGGAGGGGGCCTCCACCAGACTTCCTCTGGTTCTCCTGGAGACCTCCCCCTGATCCCCCCGAGGGCTTGGGGAGGCCTTCCGGAGGCTTCCCTTGGTTTCCACAAGGTGTGGCGAGAGGCTTCCCACGGCCCCTGGGAGCACCAGGCGAGGCCTCCCCCAGGCTTCCGGGACGACCAGGGGAGGTCTCTGGGAGGCTTCCCCTGGTTCACCTGGAAGCCTCCGATGAGAGTTCCCGCAGGGGGGAGGTCTCCTGTGGGAGGCTTTCGGGAGGACCAGGGGAAGCTTCCAGGAGACCCCACCTGGTCCTCCACCAAGTTTCCCCCCAGCGGCCCGGGAGGACCAGGGGAGGTTTCCAGGGGGCCTCCCCTGGTCTCCCCGGAAGTTTCCCCTTGGAGGGAACCCTGCCAGATTTCGAGGTCTGGGGGAGGCTCCCGGACCCTGGTCCTCGGGGAGGATTCCCAGCAGGCTTGCAAGGACCAGAAAAAGCTTCTGGGAGACCTCCCAGCCCCCTTCTGGAAGTTTGCGGGAGGCCCCCAAGAGGACCAGGGGAGGTCCCCCGGCGGTCTCCCCCCAGATTCCAGGAGGTCGTCAGGACACCGCTAGGAGGCTTACTCTTCGGGGCCCTGAGGCCAGTGGATCACCGGATGCAGTGCAGCTACGGTGGCGACGGCAGCAGAGTCGCGTTCAGCCTCGGCGAAACATTTGCTGCGCGTTTCCAAACTGGGTGGCTGGTTGGGGGCCTCCGACGGCCACGCCGGGACGTTTGAACTTTGGGTCTTTCCGCTCCAAGAAAACATGGTGGACGTAAGGAAACTTTTGGTTCCTTAATAAATGCCCCCCGGGGGGCCTCGATGGTCCCAAAGTGCGAGACATCTGTCGATCCACCAAATTTAATAAGGAATTCCCGGGGTCCCAAGTAAGGTCCTTACTTGGGTGCCTGGCGGTCCCAGAATTCAGGGCCTTACTTGGGTCCTCGGCGGTCACAGGTCCCACAGGTTCCACAGGTCCCACGTGTCCCAGATGTCCCACAGGTCCCATAGGTCCCACGGGTCCCGCAGGTCTCGAAGGTCTCGCCGGTCCCGCAGGTCCCGCAGGTCCCGCAGGTCCCACAGGCCGCACAGGTGCCACAGGTGCCACAGGTCCCGGAGGTCCCGCAGGTCCCGCAGGTCCCACAGGTCCCACAGGTCCCTCAGGCCCAACAGATCCCACCGGTCCCAAGGTCTTGCAGGTGTCACAGGTCCCGCAGGTCCCACAGGTCCCACAGGTCCTACAGGTCTTACAGGTCCCACAGGACCCACAAGTCGCAAAGAAGGTGCCAAAGGTCCCACAGGTCTCGCAGGTCCTACAGGTCCCACACGTCCCACAGGTCCCAAGGGTCCCACAGGCCTCGCGGGCCCCACAGGTCCCACAGGCCCCACAGGTCCCACATGTTTCACATGTCCCATAGGTTCCGCAGGTTCCGCAGGTCCCGCGTGTCGCGCAGGTCTCGCAGGTCCTGCAGGCCCCGCAGGCCCCGCAGGTCCCGCAGGTCCCACTGGGTCCCACAGGTCCCACAGGTCCTACAGGTCCCACAAGCCCCACAGGTCCCGCAGGCCCCACAGGATCCACAGGGTCCGTATTTCCCACAGGTCTCGCAGGTCGCGCAGGACCCGCCAGTCCCGCATACTCCATAGGCCCCGCAGGCCCCGCAGGTCCCACAGGTCCCACATGCAGGTCCCGCACGTCCCACAGGTTCCGCAGGCCCCACGGGTCTTACAGGTTTTAAAGGTCTCGCAGGTCCCGCATGTCCCGCAATTCCCACAGGTCCCGTAGGTCCCAGAGGACCCATAGGTCCAACAGGTCCCACAGGACCCGCAGGTCCCGCAGGTCCGCAGGTGCCACAGGTCCCACAGGTATGAATGACCCCACAGGTTTCACAGGTTCTCGCAGGTCCACCGGTCGCACATGTCCCGCAGGTCCCGCAGCTCTCACAGGTCCCACAGGTTCCGCAGGTCTCCCAGGTCCCTCAGGTCCCACAGGTCCCACAGGCCCCCCGGGTCCCACAGGTCCCGCAGGTCCGACAGGTCCCGCCGCCAGCACAGGTCCCACGAGTCCCACAAGTCCCGCAGGTCGCGCAGGTCCCACAAATCCCGCAGGCCCAGCATATCCCACATGTCCCACAAGTCCCACATGCCCCACATGTCCCACAGGTCCTACAAGTCCCGCAAGCCCCGCAGGCCTCGTAGGTCTGGCAAGTCCCGCAGGCCCCGCAAGCCCCAGTCCCCCCAGGTCCCACATGCCCCGAAGGCCCCACAGGTCCCACAGGCCCGATAGGGCTTACAGGTCCTACAAGAGCCACGGGGTCCGCAGGTCCCGCAGGTTCCGCAGGACCCGCAGGTCCCACAGGTTTCGCAGGTCGCGCAGGTCCCGCATGTCCCACACGTCCCACAGGCGACGCATGCCCCACAGGCCCCTCAGGCCCTACAGGTCCCACAGGCCCCACAGGTCCACCCAGCCCCTCCGGTCCCACAGGTCCCACAGGTCCCACATGTCGCGCCGGTCCCGCAGGCCCCGCAAGTTCCGCAGGTCCCACGGGGCCTACAGGTGCCACAGGCGCCACAGGTCCCACTGGTATCGCAGGTCCTGCAGGTCCCACAGGTCCTACGAGTCCCTCAGGTCCTACAGGTCCGACAGGTCAGGCAGGTGTCGCAGGTGGCGCAAGCCCCGCAGGTCCCACAGGTCCCACAGGTCTCGCAGGGACGACAAGTTTTGCAATTTCGAAGGCCCCACAGGTCCCACCAGGCCCACGCGTCCCACAGGTCCCAAGGGTCCCACAGGTCTCGCAGGTCCCTCAGGTCCCACAGCTACCGCAGCCCGCACAGCTCCCACAAGTTCCACAGGGCTCACGCTCCCGGCCCCAGTGGCATGTCCGCATACGTTTCCGCAGCCCAGTAGGGCGCTTCGTGGCCCCATAACTGGGGTCCCACCGAAGACCCCAGTGGCTGTGCCCGCATGCCTTCTCCAACCCAGTACAGCGCGTCGTGGCCCCAGAGCAGCTCCACCGAAGGCCCCACTGGCGGTGTCCGCATGCGCTCCCCCCACCCAGTACATGGCCCCACAGGGAACTCCATCGAAGGCCCCACTCGCAGTTTCCGCATGCGTCCCCCCCACCCAGTACGGCGTTTCGTGGCTTGGTAAAGGGCCCCACCGAGGGCCCCAGTGGCCGTGTCCGCATGCGTTTCCCCCACACAGTACAACGCTTCGTGGCCTCGTCATGGGGGCACACCGAAGGCCCCTTGTGGCGGTGTTCGCATGCGTTTCCCCCACCCAGTAAAGCGCCTCGTGGCCTCATAGGGAGCTCCACCGAAGGCCCCAGTGGCGGTGTCCGCATGTTTTTCCATCGGCCAATATAGCGTTCCGTGGCCCCACAGGGAGCTCCACCGAAGGCTCCAGTGGCGGTGCTTGAATGCGGTTCACCCACCCAGTACCGCGTTCGTGGCCCCATGTGGAGCTCCACCGAAGGCCCCAGTGGCGGTGTCCGCATGGGCCCCCCTTACCAAGCACCGCGCTTCGTGGCCCCATAGGGAGCGCCACCGAAAATTCCAGTGGTGGTGTTCGCATGCGTCCACCTAGTACAGCGTTTCGTGGCCCCGAAGGCCCGCCCCAGTGGCGGTGTTCGCATGTGTTCCCCCCACCCAGTACAGCGCTTCGTGGCCCCATAGGGAACTCCATCGAAGGCCCCACTGGCGGTGTCCGCATGCGTTTCCCCCACGCAGTACAGCGTTTCGTGGCCCCAGAGCTCCACCGAAGGCCCCAGCGGCGACGTTCGCATGGCGGTCCCTTTCCATGTCGGTACACCCCTTACACGTTTTGTGGCCCCATATAGGGCCCCACTGGAGGCCCCAGTGGCTGCGCCCGCTTGCGTCCCCACCCCATTTCGGCGCACCCTTTACAAGGTTCGTGGCCCCAGAAAGGGATCCACCGACGGCGATGTCCACACCGGCGATACCCACAATTGCATGTGGTTGGGCCTTTCGCCAGGATAATTGTTTTTTTCTGGCTTTCCGGCCCCGCCCCGCTTAGTCCCTTCGCGTAGACATTCTTGCGGGCACCGTTACCGTCAAGGGGAGGCCACCAGGAGTGGGGACATTCAAGGATTATGTGGGGATGTCTCAAGCGGTTTGCGCGTTTGGGTGCCCAACACGTTATGGTTTCGGAGCAGATTATAAGGATGTCTTTGACGAGGCGATGGTATTAGCACTTTCGAGGGGGAGCCGCCACGGGTGGGAACATTCGGGAATCGAGCTCAGATTGCGGGGGTATCTCGAGTGGTTTGCCCGTCTTGGTGCCCAACATGCTTTGCTTTCAGAGCAGATTGTGAGGATGTCTCTGGCGAGGCGCTGGTTTCGACATTTCCAAGGGTGAGCCGCGAGGGTGTTTGCAAGAGCCCCCCTCGCTCTTCCGTGTGTGTGTGTGTGGTGTGTGTGCGTCCTCCTCTCTCCTGGAAGGTGTCCAGGGGAGGAGGGCGTCACTGAAATCGTCGCTGTCGTCGTCGTTGTCGCGCCTGTCATCTACACGGGCTCGCTCTCACACCCTGGTGCTCGCAGACGAAGTCCTTGTGATGTTGGTGTCGCTTCTCCTTCCCCCTATCCTCCTCCCTCTCGCACTCCCCTCAGCCACCCCCTCCCTCCCCTCCTCGTTCCCCCCCGCCCACCCATTCCCTCTCTATTGCCTTCTCCTCCCCCCCCGCCCCGCCCGTCCTACAAACGCGCTCCAGTTTTTGGGGTACTCCGTTGGAGAGCCCGCAGCCTTGGAGAACTCATGGCGGCGCCGCGGTGGGCGCCTCGGGTGCGACTAGAAGGAGACGGGCTGCGGGAAAGCGGGAGGGAGCATGAGGGAGGAGGGAGGGGGGGAGGAGGGAGGAGCGGGAGGAGGGAGGAGGGAGGAGGGAGGAGGGAGGAGGGAGCAGCAGGAGGAGGAAGGAGAAGGGAGGAGCAGGAGGGGGAGGGAGAAGTAGGACGAGGGAGGACCAGAATGAGGCCAATATACATCAAGTTGCATGGCAACCTCCCGTCCCGAGCCCCCTCCCTGCAAGACCCGCCTTCCTTGACACCACAGGACGTGTCTTTAAGACGAATGTGCACGGCGCTTAGGCGAGAACCCCAATTTGGAAGAGGGCGCTCTTCATTATTGTTGCTGCTGAACGCTGTTGAGACGAATGAGTGCGGCGCTAAGGCGATAGCTCCATTTTGACAACGCCCCCACTCCGTCCTCGTAGCTGCTGTCAGCTTTCCAGACGATTGAGCGCAGCGCTAAGGCGAGAGCTCCATTCTGAAAAGGAATCGTTCCTCATCCTCGCAGCTGCTGCAAGCTTGCAAAACGAACGTGCGAGGTGCTACGGCGATATATGCATTTTGAAAAACCACCCCCCGTCCATCCACGTTTCCGTTGCAAGTTGATCATAAGTGGTGACGAGGTCTCAGGCGAACCGCCCAGCCCTCACGGCCGACACGTCTGCGGATACGACTTCGAGGAGTGACCCATGAGGAAAAGGTATGGCGGAGGACGCGAGACAGTCGGCTCAGCTAACACTCGCCACACCTAGCGCTCCGCACCAATGCGTTGCGCAGCGGAGGAGGATGGGGAAGTAGCGCAAGGCGGAGGAATCTCCTAAACTGAAGCGAAGGCATGGATAATGAGGGCGGAGGAGCCAGAGGCGGATGCGGCGGAGGAGGAGGAGGAAGAGGAAGTGGAGGAGGAGGAGCAGGAGCACATGATGAGGATGAAAGCAGGATGACTCTGCATTGGAGGGTTGGAGGCTGCGGAGGTTGCCCTCGCCATCCCCGTCTGCTCGGTGCAGGCGTGCAGCGCACGTGGGCAGCGTGTTCGTGCAGGGTGCGGGTGCAGTGCTCCCAGTGCCGTGCGCGGGTGCAGCGCGTGGGTGCGGCGTGCCTCGCGCGGTGCGTGGCGCGACGCAGAGCAGTCTCGCAGCGTCTGGGTGCCGAGTAGTCGCGCCGTCGCATTGTGCGTCTCTGCCCCAGGGTGCACTCGAGACGCTGGCCCCAGGACCGCCTTGGGCTCTGGAGGGGCTCTGGACTTCAGGCTGTTCCTTAGACATCTAGGTCGGCGAGCCTCTTCGTGGCCGACGCTCGCCGTGGTAGCGTTCCGTGGGGTAGCACGGTGAGTGTAGAAGGTGCAGGGTGCCAGCACGCCGCATCAGTTCGGCAGGTTCTTTGCCCTCGCAGCGTCCGTGAGCTCAGCGCATCCGCGAGACGCAGTGCTGGCGCGAGGCCACCACGGCACTATGCCGCCGCCTTGTGCCGTGCAGAGCGGTTCTATCGCACTAGCCACTCCACCAGTAGCAGCCCATTGGAATCTGGTCCCAGGGACGACCGCACACGTGTTGGACAGACTGAGCGGCAGGCAGGTTTTCTGAGGCAAGATGCCGCGCTGTAGTTTCCAGTGCCCGGCAGCCCTTCATGGGCGCGGACTTCCGCTCGGCAGACCGTTCTCGCTCGCTCACCAGCGAGCCCGGCCGCCCTCCCAGCGAGCCTTCCGGCAGCCCCGCTGTTCTGGCTCCTCAATCCCGAGTTGCTCGTCAATTTCTAGCTGCAGTGTTCATAGGCGTTCTCGGCATCCTTGGATCCGGTAGTACGAGTATACTGGAAGCTTTGCTGGTCGATCATTTCGCGACTTCTTAATGTTTTACGTACTCATGGTATACATGTAACGGGGGACCGGGTCCTGGGGCCGGGGGCCGGGGCCCCAACCTCACATGTGGGGCCCGGCGCGCTGGGAGCCCTGCCAGGCCGCTGGGGGCCGTCCACGATCGCCCGAAGATGGCTTCGGAACGCTCGAAAACGCGCTCCGATGGTTCTGGATGCCTTTCAAGACGACTCCCTTGACGTCAAGAAGGCCCTCGAAGGCCACGAAGACGCCCCAAGAGGCACCCCGAGAGAGCCCCAATAAGCAAAAATCGTTGATTCCCCATCGGAAAAATAATGTTTTTGGCGTGTTCGCCTTTTGGGCTTCCACTGCGTCCAAGACGGCCCAAGAGGCACCCAAGCCGGTCGAGGATGCCCCCAAGAGGGGGCCAAGACGGCCCACGAGGCGCTCAAACCGCCCAATAAGGCCCCAAGTCGGCGCCCAAGACGGGGACGAGGAGCCGGAGATTTACAACTTTTGGCCCAAGAGACCCCCAGGAGACCCCAAGAGGCTCCACCGAGGCGCCCAAACCGCCCACGAAGGCTTCATGTCGGCGCCCAAGACGGGGATCAGGAACCGAAAATGCGAGCCATTTGGCCCAAGAGGCCCCCAGGAGACCCCAAGAGGCTCCAAGAAGCGCCCAAGAAGCCCCAAGAGGTCCCCCAAAGACCCGCAAAAACACCCAAAGAGGCCCCGAACACGCCCCAAGGGGCACCCCAATAGAGCCCCAATAAGCAAACATCGTCGATTTCCTATAGCAAAACTGATATTTTTGGCGTGTTCGCCTTTTGGGCTTCCACTGCGTCCAAGACGGCCCAAGAGGCACCCAAGCCGGTCGAGGATGCCCCCAGAGGGCTCCAAGACGGCCAACGAGGGGGCCAAGACGGCCCCCGAGGCGCCCAAGCCGCCCAAGAAGGCCCCAAGTCGGCGCCCAAGACGGGGACGAGGAACCGAAGATTCGAGCGTTTTGGCCCAAGAGGCCCCCAGGAGACCTCAAGAGGCTCCAAGAAGAGCCCAAGAAGCCTTAGGAGGCTCTCATGAGACCCGAAAAAGCACCCAAAGAGGTCCCGAAACAGCCTCTCAATAGGATCCCCAAAACGGCCCAAGAGAGCCCCAGGGCTCGCCCAAGAGGGTCGACCAGAGAGTTGGTCCGACTTTCCATATTCTACACAGGGTCCGTCCCCGGCGGTGCCTCAAGCAGGTGTTGCCACTGGAGCCCTCCCTTGCCTGAGACAAACTCCAAATATTTTTTCGCACAGCGATTCCTGTGTCTGTGACGCGCTAGAACCTCAGCGCGCGCGAAGCGCGCGTGGTTCTAGTATTCATATATGGTGTTCCTCGCGCTGCTCATTCGCGTCATTTGTGCTCTTCGGTGTGATGTATTCAAAGTTATTCTGGCCCGCCTGCTACGTCATGTCGGCACCATCCGCATGGGTTTGTCATCAATATGCCGAAGCATGACGGTTGTTGCAGTGGCGTGCCCTGAAGAAGAAACCATGATCGGGCGTGGCTAGGACGAGGACTATTATGTTCCAGAGCGTTCCGGAACGCTCTCAGAGCGCGCAGCGCTCTGAGAAAGCCGCGACGTCCGAGACATCCTCCACAGCTGCGAGATTCTCGTTTTTTTCTCACCCGAATTGATCTTCGTCTTGTCTTCGTCATAGTTGCTGTTCAACCCCAGCCCGGGCGCGAGCGACCACCACATCGCTGCATCGGTCAGTCCCCCCGTCCGTCGTGCTGGCGCGGCGCGTCAGAGACGTGAACTGGGGACGCGGGTGGGCACCGAGCGCGAGCGCGCGCCAGTGTGGTGTGCGGGTGCGCAGTGCTGCGAGGCTGGGATTTGTCTAGAACCACCGGACCTCGGCAGGCGGCGGTGGATGTGGATACGGTCGAGGACTCTTGGGCAGCGTGTCGCTCCGCTGGTTCTGGCCCGGGGCGCTTCAGTGGGACACGCTATCCACTTCCTAGTCCCCGAGCGTCAACGGCCCGAGCCTTTCCCAGCCTCCCGCCCGCGGAGCGTAGCGACACGCTATCCGCTCACAGGTCATAGCGTGTCGCCCGGGCCGCCGCGGCGACACGCTGAGCAGAAGATCCCGATCGTGTCCACCGCCACCGCCTGTGGGATTTTTCATCGGGGACCTCGGCACGCGGTGGTGGATATGGATGTATTCGGGTCCAGGGGAGCAACTATTCAACAGATGTATGTATGTATGTATGTATGTATGCATGCATGCATGTATGTATGTATGTATGTATGCATGCATATATATCTATATATGTATGCATGCATGCAGGTATGCAGGTATGCAGGTATGCATGTATGTATGTATGTATGTATGAATGCATGCATGCATGCATGCATGTATGTATGTATGTATGGATGTAAGTGCATGCGTATGTAATTATGTGTGTACGTACGTATTTATGTATGTGTAAATGTGTATGTGTATGAATGTATGCATATATGTATGCATGTATGTATGTATGTGTGCATGTATGCATGCATGTATGTATGTATGTATGTATGTACGTATGCATGTATGCGTGTATGTATGTTTGTATGTATGTATGTATGCATGCATGCATGTATGTATGTATGTATGAATGGATGTGTGTATGTATGTCTGTATGTATGTATGAACGTATGTAGGTAGGTAGGTAGGTCGGTCGGTAGGTAGGTAGGTAGATATGTATGTATTTATGTGTATGTGTGTGTCGGTATGTGTGTGTCGGTATGTATGTATGTATGTATGTATGTATGTATGTATGTACGTATGCATGTATGCGTGTATGCATGTTTGTATGTATGTATGTATGTATGTATGTATGTATGTACGTATGCATGTATGCGTGTATGTATGTTTGTATGTATGTATGTATGTATGTATGCATGCATGTATGTATGTATGTATGTATGAATGTATGTGTGTATGTATGTCTGTATGTATGTATGCATAAACGTATGTAGGTAGGTAGGTAGGTAGGTAGGTAGGTAGGTAGGTAGGTAGGTAGGTAGGTAGGTAGGTAGGTCTGTATGTATTGATGTATGCATGTATGTATATATATATATATACACAGATATGTAGATCTGTTATACATGGCCAGGGGCCTTCTTCCAGATGCCCCGACTCGCCATGGCGGCTCCGGGCTCTCTGGGCGCCCTTTCCGGCGGCCCGAGAGCCGCCCAGACGGCCTTAAATGGCGTCACAGAGACACCAGAAGGCTTCCTGATGTTCCGCAGGGCTTCCGGGCGGCCCCAGACAGCTTCAAGACGGCCAAAGAGGGCTCGCCGAGCGCTCCCCAGACGTTCCACGTTCCAGGCTCGCTGAGCTTCGGACGTTCCACGTCGTCCCAAGAGGCCCAAGACCGCCCCAAGACGACCCAAGACCGCGCCAAGGCGGGCCAAGAGGCCCCCAAGACGGCCCCAACAGGGACCCAACACGGTTCAAGAGGGCCCCACAACGGCCCCAAGAGGGGCCCACGAGCAGGAACCCGAAAGGACAATTCGAGCCTTCCTTCCCGATATGCCTCCAGAAGGCCCAAGATGGCTCGCCGAGCGCTTCCCAGAGGCAAAGAGATGCAAGAACAATTCAAAGGTTTTGCAATAGTTTCGGGGCTCGAGCTTCCGACGCTCCGCGACGTCCCAAGAGGCCTCCAAGACGCCCCTAGACGGGCCAAGAGGCCCCCAAGAGTACCCAAAGATTGCCCAAAGGGGCCGGCCCCAGGCGGCCCTAGAGGCGCCCAAGACGCCCCAAGACGGTCCCAAGAGGGGCCCGAGCGCAGGAGCCCGAAGCGATAGTTCGAGCCTTCCGTCCCAAGATGCCCCAGATGGCTCAAGAGGATTCGATGAGCGTTCCCCAGATGGACGCAGCAGGCAAAAACCAATGATCTTCTAAGGTTTTTATGTGTTTGCGAAAGTCTCGATTTTTCGAGCTTCCAGCGCTCCACGACGTCTCAAGAGGCCCCTAAGACCGCCCCGAGACGGCCCAAGATGGCCCAAGACGGCACGAGGGAACCCCAAGACGGCCCTGGAAGCGCCTACGACGCCCCCCCAAGAGAGCTCCGTGACGGCCCCAAGAGGGCACCAAATTTATTACAAATTTGACACAAACCGCTTCCTCGTCAAGGACGCCGTTGTGTTAAACTCGCGTTGAATTGTTGGTGTTCTGGGGCCGCTCTGGGAGCTCCGTTGGCGGCTTGGGAGCCTGTGGGGTGTCAGGAGAGCCCCAGGAGGCCTCTGGAGGCCCGTAAGGCCCCACAGATTTCCAGAGTCCGGAGGCCCCCAGACGCGCCGCAGAACGTGCAATCGTCCGATCACGTCCACAGACGACGACCACCATTACCACCACAACCACCACGACGATTATCGCGACTGCGGCGGCGGCTGCGGCTGCGGCGCCCGCGGTGGCGGTGGCGGCGGCGACGGCCTGGCGGCCAAGAGCCTCGTGGGTCCTCCTCGGCAGTCACGTCACTTCCAAAGTTTGGGAAACGCTCGGAGCCTTCCGACGCGTCGCACGTCGATCTTGCACGGCTCAGTGACCGCCCACCGAACCCTAAGTAATCCCCCAGAATGCCCAGCACCTCCACGCGCCAAGGGCGGCCTTGCCTGGGGAGCCCCTCCTTGGTTATTCTGGGGTTCCTGAAGTAGCGCAAAGTCTACTAGCAACGACTGCGCAGTCGGCTAGAACCTAAGCGCGCGCGTAGCGCGCGCGGGTATCTAGCATTCACACACACCTATATAGACATATGTGTGTATGGATATGCATACGTATGTATGCATGTATGTATGTATGTATGTATGTATGTATGTATGTATGTATGTATGTGTGTATGTATGTATGTATGTGCATATGACAGCATGTATGCATTAATGTTTGTATGTGTGTATGGATGCATGTAGTTATGCATGTCTGTATGTATGTAGATATGTATGTATACATGCATGCAGGCATGCATGTCTGTCGTTATGTATGTATATGTGTACGTACGTATGTATGTATGCTTATATGCATAAAGGTCTGCATGTATGTAGGTCGGTATGTATGCATGTATGTCTGCATGCACGTGTGCATGCATGCATGAATGTATGCGTGTATGTATTCATGCATGTATGCATATATGCATGCATGTATGCATGTATGCACGCATGTATGTATGTATGTATGTATGTATGTATGTATGCATGCATGCATGTATGCATGCATGCATGCATGCATGCATGTATGTATGTATGTATGTAGGTATGCAAGTAGGTATGTATTTATGTACGTTTGTATGTATGCATGCATGTATGCATGCATGCATATATGTATGTATGTATGTATGTATCCACACACATGTGTATGCTTATTGATATCTATATATATGTATGTATATGTCGGTCATTCATACTTATACCATCACATATGGATAGTATAGTAAACATGTGTGTATACATATATGGATCTATATATGCCACCTGCCGATGTCCCGAAGATCGATCTCCCAGGTGGTCGGTATGGATGATCATCGCATCGCAGGCGTCCCAGTGCAATGGAAAAGTATATCGTGTTCAGGGCAGTCGGGCTGAGTGGAGGGGTCGCCAGGGGAAGACGAGCTTTTGAGCCCCAAGATTTGGGAGGATCCCTTTTTTTCAGGGCACGCTATCTGACAACTTCACCTGGTCCTGGCTAGGCCCAACCTGGGCCTAAACGGATCAGTGCGCGCCTCCCCAGGCCAAGGCCTGGAAGGCGTGATGCACCGGTCTTCGGGCCCAGGGTGAGCCTGGCCAGGATCGGTGAAGTAGTCAGTTTCGACGGCGCGCCGGCGTGGGAAGTGATAGGGGGCAGGCCTTCTCAGAAGGTCGCCGATCAACGATTCGGGCATCTCGAGGGGCGGCGGGGGTAGGGTTCGGAATTCGTTGAACAAATTGCGATTCGGGAGGCTCGATGTTTGGTGGGGGTAGGGTTCAGGTGTCGCCGCATCGAGGACCCTTCAGGCCTTCTGAGAAGGCCTTCTGCGGCTTCGGAGAAGGCTCATGAGGAGCTTCCCAGAAAGCCGGAGGCCTTCTGAGCCTTCTGACAACGTCCGCCCCCTCTGCCTTCCCCCCCCCTGGGTACGCCGCCGACAACTGAGCGACGCAGCAAAACTGGTTCGACTGCGCGGACATTCGCGCGTAAACTGTCCCCGTCAGATTGCGCGTGGACGCCCTCGCTTCTTTCCAATGTCGCGTGCCACGCTGGTGGCCCACGTAAACCACCGCGTAACGTCGCCACTTCCTCTTGCGGGGGACCCCTTCTTTTCGTCGCCAAGGTGGGGCCACCCCGAAACTTCCCCCCCCAAACCGCGCCCCCCTGTCCACCTGTCCAGGCCTCCCAGATGGGGCCGCAGCACAGCGCCGCCGCATCGCCGGTGCATCGGCGATGCGGCTAGGTGTCTGTTAAGCCCGATTCTCTCCGCGCCGACATCGCCGATACATCGCCGAAGCATCGGCGATGCATCGGGGTATCGCCGATCTTTTGAATGGCGCCCCCCCGGACCCGCCTGCGATAGCTCCGTGTGGTATGGGCTGGAAGGATATGCCATCGCCAATGCGACTACTCTCAGGTGAATGCCGACATCCCCGTAGAAGGGCCCCATACCCCCCCTCTGACCCGCAGGGGTCGGGCCGAACGAAAGGGGGGGATAGGGAAAGGGGGGGGTACGAAATCTGCTGCATGCAGCTGGTTTCGGCCCCGCCGCCAGGCCCACTCCTCGACACATGGCCGCCTCCCGGCGCCGGGAGGCGCCAGGAAAATCAGCTACGTGAGCTGATTCTCACCCCCCCCTTTGCTATCCCTCCCTTCGCCCAGCCCAGACCCGCCCGCGACAGTGACGTGTGGCATGGGCTGGAAGGACATGCCATCGCCAATGCGACTGCTCTCAGGTGAATGCCGACGTTCCCGTAGAAGGGCCCCATACCCCCCCTCTGACCCGCAGTGGTCCCGCTCCAGCGGATCTGCGAACAAAGATTTGTTTTGGAACCGAAGAGTTTTTTGGGGACCAAAGATATTTTGGTAAAAACATATTTGGAACAATATCTTTGGTCTTGGCTTCGCTTCGCTGCGCCGATCTCTCGGAGCCGCCGTCGGTCGCGTCGCCGCCGCGCCCGGGCTGCCCACGGGCCGAGGCCGCGGCGGCGCTGCTCCAGGCCCACGCGGCGGCGCACGCCAGCGCCGCGGCGGCCGTGGAGGGCTCCCTCGCAGGCGCTCCTCGGGAGATGCCTCCGGTGGTGATGGGCGGAGGAGGAGGAGGAGGAGGGGGAGGAGGAGGGGGAGGAGGAGGAGGAGGAAGATGAGGAGGATGGGGAGGGGCAGGACGGACGGAGAAGGAGGAGGAGGAGGGGGAGGAGGAGGAGGAGGAGGAGGAGGAGGAGGGGGAGGAGGAGGGGGAGGGGAAGGACGGAGAAGGAGGAGGAGGAGGAGGGGGAGGAGGAGGAGGACCACTGCAAACCCAAGGCTCCCTCTTCACGGGCCCCTACAGGCGCTCTTCTCCACTGAGCGAAGTGCTCTGTTTGGGGGCAACCGTGTGACAAACTTGACACGTGCCAAAACACCGTTTTCAGGATGGCAACGCCACGAGTCAACCTGACCATTGCGTTTCGGCGATCCTGAATCGTGCCAGAACACCATTCCAGGGTTCAACACCGCGAAGCAGCGAAACTGTTGCGCCCTAACAATCCTGAATCGCTCCAGAACGTACTTTCCAACATGTCAACCATGAGAAACCATTGAATTCTTGCAAACTGTAAACACGAATGTGCGCTAAGTCGAGAACAGCATTTTGCAATGCTAAAACGATTGTGCGCGGCGCTAAGGCGAGAGCCACATTTTGAAAACGACCTGCTCTCAATCCGCCAAGCTCTTGCACATGTGTAAAACAAATATGCGCGACGCGAAGGCGAGAGTCATATGTTGAACATTACTTGCTTTTAAACCATGAGGCTCTTACACTTTAAACGGAGAAGGTTAAAGGCGAGGTATAAATCGAGCATGTACCGCTGCCGTGCCTGGCTCAAGCCGGGCCCGGCCAAATATGTGATTGTGCCTCACCGAGGCGCACGACTTGCATCAGAGATCGGAAAATACCTTTTCCATTGACGATGCCCATCCTATCCTTTACTCCAGATCCCATGCTTCGTCTTGCTCTCTTGCTCATGCGATATGAGCCAAAGCCTGGGATATGGCAACGCTTAAAGCGTAACACATACCTAAGCTTACCAGCTTGTTTTCGACTTGGTAGCGGAGCTGGCTACACTCTCGTGTGGCTGGCTCTCGCTCTGATTCCTGTAATCCACGGCACAACTTGGTGGACTACTACTACGGTGGAATACCATGTTGCGCCGGCTCTGCGAGGAGCGGAGCCAGTCCGCGATCGAGCTAGCGGGGCAACCCGCGAACTCGAGACGCTCTCTCCTACTTCACTGCGCTACTTCACTCCCGACTTCCACCAGATGCCAATCGGCAACTCGATCGAGAACGTGGTCACCCTGCGGGGCTACCCGCAGCGGGGCCACCTGCATCCCGTGCCAGTCAGGCGCCTCACGGCTACTACGCCAGAGCCTGACAAACCACAGCCTAAACCAATCACCGAAGCCGAAATGCACATGCACTGGATTAAGATAACTATCTTCGGCATTCTGTGGGTAATAATGGGATGTGCTGTGGGATACATGCGGCAGGGGATGGACGACACGCGTACTACTGGCCCCTCATGGGACCCTGCCGGTACTACGCCTTTTCGCGAATATGTTCGCGAAGTACATGCATGGTTAAACGTAACGAGCGGCAATATGACACCACCACAACAAGCTGCAGCACTACAACGAGGCCTTCAAGGTCTTGCTCGTCGTATCGCCATGCAGGTCCCCTCCCAGATCATCAATTATGGTGTAACTGTCAATGGACAGCCAACGGATGCAGTAACATATATACTGTACTTACTGAGCACCAAATTTGAAAATCTGGAAGATGAGCGCCAGCTCAATTCTGGCACTGCCCTTATCGACTTTCGCGTCGAAAGGGGCGAGCGAATCGACTCAGTGTTAGCTCGGTTCGAGATGGCCCGTGACGAGGCTAACTCTGTTGGATTTGTCATCCCCAACTTTCAGATCCTAACGCTGATTCTCTTCAGAGCGTTAGGCGTTGGCGCGTCACGAGCCCAACACCTGCTGGAGCCCTTTAATCATCAGATGCCCCGAACACAAGCAGACTATGACAGGCTGCTGACCAGGATGAGGAACTACGGACATGTTGCCGAGCGCTCTCCTGGCAACATAGCGGGTATCTTCACAGGGCACCACTCACATGCAGGTGTCTACGCCACGACTGCGGGGTCACCCGCTGGTCCTGGCGAGCCAAATCCTTGGGCTGACCCAGCCGATATGCCCAACGAGGCCACTGCCCTTTTAGGGCAGACTGGCCAGGCATCGGCAGAGGCAGCTGAGGCGAACGCCTGGTCGAACTACTCGCCAGGCGCCGCCTACACTGCAAGCCCGCCCTCGGGCACAACCCTCTGGGGCCAAGCGGAGTCATCCGCTCAAGGGTCTCAGCCACCCTCACCGTTTGAATCTGGCACTGACACAGACACCTCATCTGACGATGAGCACAATGGCATAGTCTCTGCTGGTAATGACTATCCAGCGGATGACACTCACCTTTCTGAACAACAAAGAGCGGAAGCCGCTTTTATGGCCTATCGCAAATCAAAACGCCGTTGGAGGCGCTTTATGAAGAAACCAGTCAGAAAAGTGAGACGTGCAGTACGCCGACATTTCAAACGATATGGAAAGGGTCGTGGCAAAGGGGGTCGCAGACGCCGTATGCATGGTAGGGGTATCACTGCTTTCCTCACGTCCTTAACTGATATAGCCTTTGAAGAAGTTCTTATCGGAGGCAAAGGTCGGGGTCACAGGCGGACCTCCGGTAAGGGAAAAGGGCGGAGGGGCAACCCTAGGGACGCTTCTGGCAATACTATGAAGTGTCATACATGCGGTAGCACAGAGCATTTGCGCGATCAATGCCCGAAGGGGAAAGGAAAGGGATCCGTACATTTGGCTCAAAATTCTTTTATGGATGACATAGACTACATTGACTACGAGTTTTACGTCAATCCAGAAGCGGCTCCCGCTGCGGGCTCCTCCACGTATTACGTGATGGCCCGCTACGCTGAAGCAACCGTAGCCCTGGAAGACTACGCAGTGACCCTCTTCGACGAGTTCCACGGCTGGGACGAGGTCGACGAGGTCGCGTTCAATGCTTGGTTCGGTCTTCCAGCGGGGCCACCCGCCGGCGACGAGGTCTCCGAAGCTGAGACCGTCCCGGCGACCGAGGAAGAGCTCACCGCCGCGCTGGCACCGCAGGTGATTGGCATGCCGTTGCTGCCAGACCTTTCGCGAGCTGGTTCGGAGGCGGGAGACGCTGATGACGAAATGCGGGGCCATCCCGCGTACTCTGACTCCGAAGAGGCGGAAGATGACGATAAGGACATGCTCCAAGAGCAGGTCGCTGAAGCAATCCGACTCCTGAGTGCGCCAGCACATCAGCAGATAACCATGAAAGACCTGCTGTCGCGCCCAGGGGCTGCACGGCTGCGTCCATACCTGGATTCGGACATGTCGGCACCTCAGATGCTGACAGCACTCCAGGCTCTAGCGGGGTCACCCGCCGAAGTGACGCCAGCCGCAACAGCGGGGCCACCCGCTTGGTCTATGGATGTATTTATGCAAGGTTGTGATCAAATAGACCTTAACGACCTCACGATGGAGCAGTTAAACGACATCGGGTACTTCCGAAGCCCGTATCAACACGTGTTCATGGTCCAGGACAGCTCAGAGGACTCGGAGGACATGCGCTACGCCAAGAGGGACAGACGACCGTCGCCTCCCCGAGACTCAGAGCATGACGATCAAAGGCCAATGGAACGTGGTAGTGCGTCAGCGGGGCCAGCCCGCAGGAGGAGCCGTTCAGCTCCCAGACGCCCTACACATGATGCGTCGGGCTATCCATACAGTACTGAGCACTCCGTTGGAGTATCCGCTCAGCATGTGCCGGATTGGTACATCAACTGGTACCCCGGCTATTCGATGGACGTGATCCGCCACTGGTATTCTAAGGAGTACTGCACCAAAAGGGACGAAACTGGCGTGATAATACGTACCAAGGGTGGCAAGACCAAAACGCCAGAGGCTTGGGACAAAAGGGCTAAGAAACAGGAGATCATCAACGATCGCAAGACATACAGGAAACAAGTATGTCAGTGCGAGCCCTTCAAAGGTCACATGCGCAGTTGTCCGATGGACCGCCCCTCCAGGAGTCCTCATCACGGTGAGACCCCGTGGAATTGGTCTCATGGAGATGACGCTGGCAACGTCCATGATCCTAACAAGGAGGTCCCTGGAGGAGGAAAGCGCATCACCGAAGCCGATCGCGTCCCTATGACCGAAGAGGTGGCCAACATCGTCAGGGAAAATTGGGTACAGCTTCCCAATGACCATCGCCTCAAGGAATGGAACCGCCGATTCCATAAAGAGGCGGGGTCACCCGCAGGATCCAGTAAAGAGGCGGGGTCACCCGCAGGATCCAGCAAAGAAGCGGGGTCACCCGCAGACGCGGCGCCAGCCGCTGGGTCCGCGGACGACGATTGGATAGCTGTTGCATCTGCTGCTGGGTCCGCCGCCGGCACTGACCACACCGAACTGAATGAAGAATGGGCGGCGGAAGACGGCTCAGAGAATCCATTCCCTGATGGATGCGCCTGCTGGTACTACAGCTCTTCGGCGCAGAAGTGGTTTTGCACGAGGGTAATTCACCGCCATGAAAATGGCAAGTACAAGCTGGCCATAAAAGGTACTGCCGACATCGACCAGATGAGGCAGGTCATCCATGATCATGGCCAGCCAGAAGGCCCTCCTAGAGACCCTCCTGGTCCACAACCGGGCAAGGGCAGCAGACCACCTCCAAGACCTGAAGCCGACTCCTCGTCTTCACCGACTCCTGCGAAAAGGCACCCGTCCAAGAGCCCCGAAGGCACACAGGGGCGGGCGAAGGCCAGAGGGATCGCCAAGACGGACGACCCTGAGCCGGTAGATCCTCCCGGTCTGTCCGTGACGGAGAGGAGGAAGGCTTTTGCTGGACCATCGACCCCGATGCCACCGGCGACCCAAGGCGATGTCAAGGATGAAGCTCGCAATCAGCCTAAGGCAGCCTTCCGAGGTGACTGGACTCCAACTCTGCATCAGCCGCGCCTTGCACCACGACCAGGTTCGGCACGAATGAAAGCACAGCCGAAGCCCGAAGCTGGGATGAGGTCGGTGCGGGCAGAAGCGGCCGCCAAGGCTAAGGAGGACAAGGGCTCTGCGGGGCCACCCGCTAAAGCGGCGCCAGCTGCAGCAGCGGGGACACCCGCAGAAGGCACTCTCTCAAGAGAAGAACGCTTCAGAGTCCTCAAAGAATTTGGCGACCGACAGAAACTAACCGATGATGCAGTTGCTGACCAAGGTCACCCGAACCCTGGCGCGGAGTCATCCGCTGGAGCTGCCTCGTCAGCCGCAGGCTCTGCTGGGCCACCCGTTAAAGCGCCGCCAGCTGCATTAGCGGGGCCACCCGCACGCGGGCAGCCAGTAATGTCTGTTCTTAGGAACATCCCTCTGGGAGCCATCGAATACTGGCAAGGCATTGAAGGCAAAGGCCCGAAGCGCACCATAAACCCACGAGTCACTCGAGACGATACGGACCGATACGAGGTCATTAATTGCCCTGATCGTCGTAACTTCGAGTGCCGCAACGACTGGGAACGTGAACAACAAACCGTGGGAAATATGTTGCGAGACAGGCCGCCACTACGCGTTGCGCAGCATAAAGCAGAGCTCCTGAAGGTCATGGAGAGGTTCGGCATGGATCCGACTTTGCCGCGCGAAGGGCAAATGACCAAGGTGTCAATATGGTTCTCTACAGCCCTACGCCATAGTCCATATTGGAAGGACGGATTCAGCCGACACTTCGAAAAGATCAGCACTTTCGATCCATACGATGGCTGGGTTGTTGTTGACGATCTGCTGACAAACTGGACTGAAAATGATCAGTGGAAAGGCTATCGTGAAATGCACGAGGTGCTGATCAAGGGCAGGCCCCACACGTCATACGTGTATTGGGTGCTGCTAAACTGCTGTGAGATGATTGACCATCACGGCATGCAGAAGGGCAGGCTCCAGATGAAGTGCGTTGAGGACAGCATGCTGCTGCCTCCCAGGTTTCGACCAAAGGCACGCAGGCCACAGTACTTCATCAGAGCCACGAACGGCCACAGCAGTCCAGGCATCCACTGTCCCGAGTCGCTTTATAAGCCGATCACAACATGGATGAAAGAACCAGACGACCCAGTATATTTCATCCACGGGACACAGTGGGAGTATGTCAAGGACATCCTTGCTAATGGCCTTTCATGCCTCGCACAGGACAACCCTAAAAGGAAGGGGGGGCGCCAATTTGTGCACGGCTGCCCCTACCTCCCGGGCGACCCGAGGATTCAATCGGGCATCCGTCCTGACTCGGAGGTGCTCATATTCTGCAGCATCAACAAGATGCTGTCCAGTGGCTTCTCCCTATGGAGATCAGCAAATGACATAGTCATGACACGGGGCCACGACGGACGTATACCGCCCGATCATATCCTCCAGATTGTGAGCATTGCGAAATATCGGGTCGGCGAAGCCTGGAGCAATCCGCTGGCTTATGACAAGTCGCGGAGGCGGGGCCAACCCGCGGACAGGATTCGCACCGATGACTACCTGCCACTTAAAATGTGTGACAGAACTCTGGGTGTAATGGAAGATCACGCCATGTACCTAAAGGGCTGGACTAAGACGGACGGTCGCCCATTCAATTTGATCATGACCGAGCAAGATGTTGCTCCACGACCGTACGACACACAGACAGTCCTCATGATGAATGCCCAGGAGGACGAGGTCATGCCTGAAGCGGGGCCACCCGCAGGTGCGGGGACACCCGCGGTAGACACCTCGGACGGTTCATGGCAACAAGTGGTCACACCAGTAGCAACGGTAGCATCTCCTTGGAGGCCGGACCAGCAGACATGGGTCCAGGCCCTCAACAGCTATTTGACACCAGCCGACGTCTCTGGACTGACCGATCAGCTATATCGTGCTGACCCGTGGGCAGTGCATACAGGTATCCAAGACGCACAGCAGAGGAACCTGCGCACTCCTGCGGGGCCACCAGGCGTCCTAGGACCACAACCACAACGCCCTCCGCAGCAAGCTGGAGGTGCGAGGTTTGTCCCTATGGGCGGTTCAGATGGTGGCTCGCCGTTTCGGACTCCGCCGTCTGAAACGAGCGAGAACAGCTTGTGGCAAAGACTCCAGGCGATTCGCGGGAATCCGGCGCTCGCAGCAGCACTCCAGGCGACCACTCCCTTTGGCACTCCGAGGGGTAGTGAAGGAGGAGTGGCTGCGGGGACACCCGCCGAGCGAACGCCTGCGGAGCCACCCGCACACGCGGGGCCACCCGCTGACGGACAGCAAGGGTCAGACTATGAACGTCGGGCAGCCAACTTAAGAGCACAGGCTACCTTTCTGCAGCAACAAGCTGATAGAGTGCCCAGCCTGTTGCGGAACCGCAACATAGATGTTACGAATCATGGCGACTTTCGGCCTCTCTGGAGCTGGACTTCTGAAGATGCTCCAAATGCTGATCCCACGAATCCATATCGACAGGTGTTTATTCCAGGAATAGCATCACACCCAATATATGGATGGGACAATCATGGACCAGCAGAGGCACAGGCCATGGACGCGCCGATGTACCCGGAGTACTACGCGCAGATGAATAACACTCCTATGATTGCGGGGCCACCTGCGAACGAATACACTCGGAATCTTGCCAATGAGATGTTTCGTTTGCAGTTTACACGAGCGGTCGATGCGCAGTCTATGCCGCACTACGCCTACATGCCCACGCCGACGGACCCCGAGACCGTAGTTCAGCCAGCTGGTCTCGCGGTGCCAGCCGCTATGGGCAGCATGCCAGACTACATCCGCGACGTGCACAACACGCAGCAAGCGATACTGGCATCTAGGCAGCAGGCTCGGGACAACGCCAGGCTGCGCCAACAACGCGCGATCCAGAGAAGGATCGAGCGTGAGACCCAAGCGGGGACACCCGCAGACGCGGGGCCACCCGCTGAACGGACAGATAGACGGCCGCCACCGACGCCATATCGGGAGGGCGAAACCACTTTCGAGCGCCAAGCTCGGACTCGCCCAGACGTGCCTGCTCCAGTTATTTCAGACTACAACTTCACACAGTGCCCAATCTGTATGGACACCTACGAGATGGGCACCATAGTGTGGAGACTGGCGTGTGGGCACTTCTTCCACGATATATGCTGGGATCGTGTTGCACAGCAGCACGTCCGCAATCAGCGGCCAGGTGCGCCGAACGAGGCCCCCTGCGCTGCATGTCGTGGGCCGGGCATAGTTATAGCACATTTCCCATATGCTGGACAGCGCGACGCTGAGTCAGAACAAGCGCGCCAGCAGGAAAGGTACGTGGCAGATGCCCGGGAAATGCGTCGGCTACGGGAAGCAGTGGAGGCACTAGAGGCTCGAGCCGCACAATCGGCGGAGCCATCCGCACGTGCCCCAGCTGCACAGGCATACCCCTGGCCAGCGCCAGAGCAAGGCATCCAGATGCCAATCCTGCCTACGCTTCGAGCACAGGAGCCCCCAGCTGCGGGGCCACCCGCTGAAGCGGCTCCCGCCGCCAAAGCGGGGCCACCCGCAAATGGGCCTCCAAATCCAGGTTTCCTGAGGGCAATGGAGGCCAACATCAGGCGGAGTGGCAGGAGCGGAGGCGGGACTCGAAGGCCAACTGGATCATCCAGGACCTCACGTGTGGCAAGCCCGGTCAGCGCTAGGAGCCGGGCAAGCGCTGAGAGCGCGGAGGCAGCCCAGTTCCACACCACATTCATGATCGATACAGAGGGGCTGACCTATGCACGTGACGACACGGACACGCTGCCGCCAGGAGGTGAATGGATGTCCACACTCTCTGCGAATTATTGGGTTCTCGAACAGGAACCAATTACCGTGGAGGAGCGCCGCCAATATGAGCAGATGTGGTGCACCGAGTTAACCATGAGTCAATGGGTGCTTGAACAACGCCTGTTGAAAGGCACACTCGGTTCACAGATTACGTACCACACCGATGACCATGGTACAATGGCTCTGGCAGCGCGAAATGGGACATTCTTTCCTGACGAAGACGGTATGCCCTGCATCTCGTTCATGCTAGACATTGGCTCCAACGTGAACATCATTGGAGCCAATACGGCGCGAACCTTCCAGGAGATTATGGCCAGGTACAATCACAGACCTGCCATATGCACCCTGAGCAAGACCCTCTACATCAACGGTGTCGGTGAGGGTGCTGCGATATGTCGGAAGATGGGCAACTTCAAGATCGGGGTGCAATACGCCAATGAGGCAAGCCCCCGTATCGAGGAGTATGCCTCCAACATCGCAGAAGGCTCGGGTGCCAATCTCCCGGCCATCTGGGGCCTAGGAGCCATGGAAGCACGTGACACGATCATCGTGCTGAAGCCAGGCTACCAGAAGGTTATCTTCCCCAGCGGTGACTACACCCTGAAGCTGGGAAGGGGTGCCAAGGTCCTGAGGGCGAAGAAAACTCCCTCGGGACATCTCGCGATTCCCTGCGGTTTGTATGACGGGGCTAAAAGCCAGACGGTCACGAACACCTTCACAATCCGCAGCAGTCGAGATGGCTACACCGAGACGGAGAACGAAGAGGACCCCGTCAGTGCGGGGCCACCCGCCGGAGTAAGTGCGGGGCCACCCGCCGGAGTAAGTGCGGGGCCACCCGCCGAGACCACAGCGGGGCAACCCGCGACGGGACAGTCCATGACCGTCACGACTGATACGTACATTGTCGAGCCGTATCTCGACAAGCAGCTCCTGGAAGACACGACCCGTTTGATCGTGGACAGGACGCTGAACAGCTGGTGGGAGGGCCAACAGTGTCCCGAGGGGACCTGGCCACATATGAAGGATGCCCTGAAGTCTAAGATATTCTGGGCAGTCCAGGAGGCGGTGAATAAATGGACGCCTGAGAACCAAGCGGGGCCACCCGCGACACCGCCACCACCACCAAGCTACACGGGCGGAGGCTCGTCGGACTCTGCGGGGCCAACCCGCGTGGAGATCGTGAGCGTAGCCGCACCAGCGACTCCTGCGGAGCCATCCGCTAACAGCATGCCCCCGAGTCAGACGGCAACGTGGTCACACGACCGCCGCTGACGGGGGCAGGCGGGCGCGCCGGCGGCGCTCGCTTGCGAAGAGAAGCCGAATACCGGCCTCCTCGCGACATACGTTGGCCGCGCTGAGGCCCGAGAGGAAAAATATCATTCAAAATGTCTTGTCATCGAAGATATTCGCACAGCTTGCGCTGAACTCCGAACCCGTGGATATATATGCGACCGGATTACCCATAATGAGGTAATGACTTCAACTGGAACACAGTATTTGGGAAATTTGTTGGCAGGAGACTACAATATGTTGTGGGTGGCCACACCCTCTGATTGGTACGTTCGTACTCCAGGAAAGAGGGCGGGACCACATTATCAACGTATACAAAATCTCCTGATCAAAGCGCGTGCTCTGAGAATGCAGATAGTTATCCTGGGGCCACCCGGGTATTTCTGGAAACAGGGTCCGATCAAAGATGTTATCGAAGATTTGAAGCTAAGCATTATACGAATGAGACTCTGTCATTTCGGTATCAAGTTTGACCGATCCAGTAAATATCCCAGTGGTTCTTATATACAAGTTGCTACATCTTGTCCTCATATACCGATAAACTTATGGAAATGTACTTGTGGCTCACACAAGGAGCATGATTTGGATTGGTATGGCCAAGATCAGCAACGTGCCGAGTTTCGGTATAAAACTTTGGCTATCATTATTGCACGCTTCCTTGATCAACTCGATAAAGCCAACATGATCAGGAATGAGCGGAGTGCGGTACACCTCAGCGTGTGTACTCGCGTTGACAAAAAGGTCAGACACTACGTCCAATGTCCACAAAAGGGCCCTCAATGGGACCATGTTGTTCGTAGAGTCACGACCGACCTGGACACGAATAAGATCGTTCAAGATATTAGAATTCAGGATCAGCCAACTGGGTACAATTA